ACGTAGCGTATTGCTACGAATTCACGCCGTATAAAAAATAATATCGTAAAATGTGAAGGCTTATGTGTTTTCTCAAAGGAAACGATGACAATAAACGTCTATTGCTAGGCGTTATCTTTTGGGCTGGTATTTTTATAGTTTTGCTAAAGTTATATGAACTGTTGGACTATATAAGACTATATAAGTATGAAAAATATACACTAGAAGAACTGATTTGGAATTTCCTATTAAAAATTGACATGCTTGTAGTGTATGTAACGTAGGTAATTTTCAACTTATCGCAATTTTTAATTGTGTATATATTGTGTAATTCACAATAAAAAAAATATTTTTGTATTTTGTAAATTGGCACAATGTATGTATATTTTATTAAATATTTCTGCTAAAACTTTAAATTATAAAATTGTATTGTACTATCAATAAATTGATTTGTTTCATACATGGTATAGATTGTATAATCTTTATATACGTATATAATTCTGCTGTACGTGTATATGTCACTGAACTTCTCTTAAACGGCTGAACCGATTTTAATGAGTTTTTTGTATGTGTTTGGGATGGTATAGATTCACAAATCAGCCCGGCAGATGGCACTGCAGTCGGTATCTAGATAATTCATATATGCAGAAAATCAACAGCTGGTATATACCTATATGAATCTTCTGTGCATGTGTTCGTAATTAAACTCCTAAACGGAAGGAATAACTAACTGGAGGAATTTTGTTGAAATTTTGTGTGTGATCAAGTGGAGTCGAGAATGATTTACATTATTAGTTTTTTTTTTGTGTGACGTGTGTACAGGACTACGTCTGTCGGATCCGCTAGTTGGATATAAATTTTAAATTTGTTCGACTTTTTTTTTCTTTCTGATTGTGTATACAATCTAATATATAAAATTCTCGTGTCACAATGTGCCCATACTCCTCCGAAAGGGCCCGACCGATTCTTATGAAATTTTTTATGCGTATTCAGTAAGGCTGAGAATCGAACAAAATCTATTTTTTATCCCCCTAAATGTTAAGGGTCGTTGTTTTATTTTTATTTTTTTATGATACAGCATACAAAAATACATACAACCCTTAATTGTCACCCCTCTACGATCAACCCCTATTTTTTATTACAGTAGATAGTTATTTTTATTGAACGAAAAAAATGTTTCCTGAAATAATACATGGCAAAACGACGATTGCCGGGTCAGCTAGTAAATAAATAAATATTGTTATAAACCTAAATCTAAATGACACCTTGACGGTGCCAGCTGTTATCAACGTCAGTCAGGCTTATCTTAAGATTCCCGTAACATTAAAATAAAATTTCAGAAAAGCGTTTCCGAACAACAGAAACGGTTGGGAGTTAATAAATAATTTATTAGTCTTATCTGTCGCCACAGGGCAATTCTTTTGCTTTAAATATTCAGTCCCATTTCGCTTGTGGTTTTCTTTAATTTTGATTTAAAAGTGATTTTCTTTGATGATGTTTTAACTTGGGATTTCATTTGTCATTTTGAGATTTATGGTTTATTGTTTTTGTATAGTGTATTAACAGTAAATTGTACTTGCGTCTATTCAAGTTAGATATTGCAAACACGAAATACGCTTAAATAATATAAGATTAGAAGAAGTATCTTAACGAATTAGTTTTTAATGGACAAGGCGTGTAAACGGAAATCCAGGTGTCATGTCCCAATCAAACATTAATTGCGGCAATTAAGAAGGCACACAAAGCTAATTTGGAGCTTAGTTTAAAGTTAAACAAAATAATAGTAAAAAATATTACCCACAGACAAATATATGTTATTACAGCGCCCATGTTCTGCCTCCACTTTATATTATAAGAAAGTAAGTTTCTCGATCTATATCTGATACATTTTCATACACCAAAAATACATTTGAAGGGTTTGAATCCGGCACTACGAATACAAACCCGTACCTGTATACACGCCACTTTCTATAGAATTTAATTAAATACATCCAAAAAATTGTATTAGTGATTTGAAAAGAGTAATGGAATACCATTTCACGATCTCTTCCTGATACATTTTCATATACCAAAAATAATATAATAAAATTAGACGTTTTTGTATGCAAGTTCGTTGCAGTTCTCTCAATATCCCCAGCGCGATCTTGCAATCGCGCGGAACAAAACCTCATTATTGGAATTGGGAGCAAAAAAAAAGAAAGTCAAATCATTTATTTCAATTAGACCACCTAAAATGGCACTTTTGAACGTCATATAAAATATAAAGATGATTCTAGTTGCCCCTTCCAAAAGTTAGTTTCGTGTGGAGAAGAATGGGCAAGAAACTCCGCACTTACTCTTTTAAAATAGGTTTTACAACCTATCGTTGTCAGTATCGCTTTTGGAAGTTACAGAGTAAGGGCACAGATCATAATCTATAACTTTTTTTTTTCGCTCATGGCGCAGGCTATAGTCTTTCGACCATACCGCCTAGTCTTTCGTAGAACATATTTTATACCAGTAATAATTATACTATCATACATTTATATAATATAGTTTTTGTTGATAAATTAAAACACATTTGGCTGGTAACACCATCTCGTGGTAAAACTGAACACTAACGTTAATAAAAACAATTACGCTACGTTCATTATCACTCGTAAAACCTGAATAAATTCAAGAAATTCTGTGAAATTGTATTCTTAAATCGCCGGGAACTGGACCAAACTCACCGAGTACTAATTAAAAGTTCATTAAAACCCTCTCCACAAAAGAAGCAACCACTTCAACCCTTGCAATGCAGCCACAACTTCTTTTGTATGCTTTGGTAGAGAAAGATAATTTTCAAATGTTCTGTAATTTCGAGTAAAATTAACCGTTTATAAAACTTTCCTCATTGAACACTTTGTAATTACTACGAAAGTACTTGTCAATGTTTACGGAACAAATCAATAAAAAAAATATAGGTATATTAATATTCTTATACTGGGTACATTAGAATGGTGTACTATGGCGTCTTGCGGGTGCCTGAAGCGAGCCTCGGAAACAATAGTTTAGATTTCATACGCACTGAAGGCCGATCATCTACACTCAGACATGTGTTAAACCCTATCGTGCATCAAATAGTAGCAGACTTGGATGGATTGGATATAAAATAACGATTCCATGACAACTTTTTTCTCTTACTCTTGACAAAAAAATGAACCACGATATCAAGAGGTCACCAAGATGTCAACAACTTGAGATGAGAAACCGCTTGACAATTCTACGAAAATAGTTTCACACTCCTAGTACATTGGTGGACGGTAGGACTAATTTAGCGACTTATAGTACGATCGAACAAACGAGATTTCAAATTTGCTAAAACTAGTAGGTAATGTCTTATAGTAATATTAAAAGTACAGAGCCACCCACCATCTCAATGGCTACTGAGTCCCAATATACTTTAAGTGTACAAAAATAGTCGTGTTACGAAACAGAGCGCTTTATTTTACTGCCCAATTTCAAGACAACACAATTGCCAAAGAAAGCAAGGCAAACATGCTTTATTTCTTAACCCAAAGGATTTTATATACTACAATTCCGTAAACACATATTTGTTTCAAGAAAACAGTCAAGCGAGGTCTGTAATCCTCTTGATATTTATGTACCGTATTTTCTGGAAAGTTTTACTAAAGGCTTACAAAGACACACAACGATGCTAACTCTGCTTAGATTTTCGTCTTAGATAACTTAGTTTTAATATTTTGTTTTATTATCTATATTTATTGAAAAGACAAACATTAATGATGCAGTCTTTTATGCGCAGAGCGCTGAATTAACCATCCCCCGGTAAGAAGAACAGAATACGTTTATTATGGAATATAAGATATCACTTATTCCACGTAATTAAATATGTATAGGTAGACATCCCTACTCACCGGCAAAGAAGACAGAAAGTGTAGGCCGAGAGATAAAGCTGGCGTAAAAAACTCTTGGTACTCTTATAAAATATGAAATCATCATACAAAATAACTATGGCAAACATAGATAGAAGAAACCAGGAGGAGGGAGATACCGTTCGCTCTTTATTTGTATTAAATTACAAAACTGAATGGAAACCTCGCAGTCCAGTTTCCGGAAGCGGCACCTGTTCACAAGCATGACGTGTGAGCCAGCCATCGTTTTACTTAACCATATTTGAGGGAATTAAACAACAACTGATATAGACGAAAGCCTGCGTTCGATTAGCACTTCTCCTGCACTTTTCCATCTTCTACAGGACTTTAAAATATGAAACATATATATTTTCAGTATTCATTTTATATATCCCAACCCATTAGATATGGAAGATGTGGCTATTTTTAAAAGCAAGTACGTGATTAGTGTTTCGTACGATTGAAACGAAAATTGTTTCGCAAAGTGTTCAACCCATACCTTTCTATAGACTAAAATTAAATACATAAAACCAAAAAAATACATACTGAAAGATTGTCTGTCTGTTTGTTTCTGTATCTATCTAGGCTTATCTTGAAACCTATTCCTCTAATTATTTTTAGGCAACATTTATTTATTAGATGTGTAGATTTAGCTAAGTTTTTAGAAAAAAATAGACCAAAAAATTTGGCATTCGGCATCAGCATTAAAAAATACAATTAGCCGAAAAGCTGTTAAAACTGCATAGAATTGCCATTTTATATGTCCTGAATTACATACGAAATTGCGGAAACCAACTAGTTCATGATAATTAAACAAAAACATCTTACATTGACTGACATTGTAATCAATTACTATTCATTTAAAACAATTTAATATTTGATTAAAACAAATCAATTAACTCTTTTGTTTAAATTTATTTTAATTCTACATCTTAAGCGGTTTGCATTTTCAACCTTATGTGTTTCTAATAGAGTTTATGTATGTTATACATAGGTAAATATTTGCAGCATTTATTTATACATATGGGGTCAATTTGTATGTATTATTATATAGGTATATATAGGGGTATGTAAGAGTTTATATGTGTATAGTTTATACCGTTTGGTCGTTATAAGACCAGCAAAATGCTGCCTTTCGTATTGGTACTTCTCGCTGCGCAGGTAAGTGATTTTTCTATAAGAATTGATAAGCTAATTAGCTTTTTATTAATACGTTGCTACTCTATCATTTATTATATTTCTGTATTGAAACTTGAGCAAACTGTAGTGTGCATGTTTGAGGACGTATCTAGTTATATATACGCTTGTCCGAGGGAAACAAGCAAAAAATATTATAAAACCAGTGCCTTATTTCTGTTGAAGTTAATTATAACATAATGATTACCTTAAGTAAGCCTTTCAAAAAGCTATCTAGTAATTCTTAAAATATGTAAATGCCTATTGAATATGGTAAATAATAACACCAACATGTAAAGCGATGAATATATACATAGTGATGTTAGTAATAACGCGTTGAATTTACATGAAAATATATCCCCGACATCCTCGCGGGATATCCATGATCCCGTATAGAAATCACTCTGCAAGTGACGGCATCTTATATACTAAAGGGAATATGATTTAGAAGGTATGGGGAATAGTGAAAAAAGTGTTTAATTATTAATATTAATGCGACAACGACTTTTCTAAGAAAAACAAGAGCGCATACAATCTTTTTGAAAAAGTAGGTTCTATAAAGTCCTCTATAAAGTTAAAACTTCTTAAATCTAAAACTTTATTATCACACCGTTTGTTTGAAAATAATCTAAGCAACACTTAAAATATGTGATTTTATTATTATAGAAAAATGTATTTAGCATTGTATTTGATTTGAGCAGTGTTGGCCTAGTGGCTTCAGCGTGCGACGCTTATCCCTGAGGTTGTAGGTTCGATAGCCGGCTGTGCACCAATGGACTTTTTATGTGAAGTGAAGGAAAACATCGTGAGGAAACCGACTTGCCTTTCTAAAAGTCGACGGCGTACGTCAGGCACAGGAGGCTGATCACTTGCCTATTAGATTGAAAAATGATCATGAAACAGATTCAGAAATCTGAGGCCCAGACCTAAAGAGGTTGTAGCACCACTGATTATTATTATTTAGCATTAACAAATATATGTTTTAAGTGTAAATTTATTATAAGCGAATAGAGCAAGGCCATACGATTTCGGACCCTATTAAAAACAGAAACGCAAAATCACCGTCACCCTAGTACTTAGTTTTCCACCTACACAAGACTCGAGATTTTCCTTTGTTGGTGAAGTATTAAAGGACTCTACAATTATTCTATTTCTTAACTATAATAAAAGCGTAATTGCTTCTTAAGTTTTTCACTATCGTACCTTCTGCGTGTTTTCGCTTTTGTATTTTATAAGAGTAGGTTTTTAATTTGAGTCAAATTTCTTTGTGTGTTATTAAAAATACAGAACGATTATCAATTTGTACAGAAAATACGTAAAAAACTTCTTATTTTATTAGCTATTTTTCATTTTTGATTATGTAAGATAATTTATAACCCTAGGTAGTAGTTCTACCTACGCTTTATTAGTGTATAAATTATTTTATATCGATTTCAATAAGTTATATTTTTCCTCATCGGACGTCGAATACGAAATTCCACCAGTAGGTATCACCTCAACGTCCGTCGTCCCACAACTGAGTATTTTTAAGGCAGTTTGTGCCACCCATCACCACTATGTCGAACCAGCTGGCCACTGAGGTATTTCCGAAGCAATTCGACTTAGGGTCCACTTCAATAAAACTTCAATTCTTCAATAAAAGAGCGTACAAATTCTTAAATACCTGCAACACACTTCCGAGCTAATGTGTTGTGAGTCTACTATCTATGGGCGGTATCACTTATCATAAGGAGAGCCTCTAGTCCGTTAGATCTCTGTTATATATTAAATAAAAGTGTTACTATATAATAATTCAGGCTTCAGATTCTCTGTTTCCATGACATTTTACTGCTTCACAATGCAATTAAATTCCCACAAAAATCCAACTTTCAACAACTAAACGCATAAAGAGAATTACGTGTCATTGCATAAAACGTGTTCATAGCCCAGATTGGACGATTTCATCTAACCGTATTACATGTCAATCAACCGTAACGCTAGAATCGAGTGCTTATTGCTTTCGGATTAGGTATGGATTTTCGAACATCGAAGTTTTGTAGCTTTAATTATTATCTATATGGGCTCACCTACTTGTCTTCTTGTCACCTACACGTACAGTGTATAGACATTATATCTAGAAATTGATAGGTAGGTATGTCATTATATAAGTTTGAACCAATTTCTTTTACCAAAGGCTTAGCTGTTGATGTGCGTATTCCGCATTACTGTATTATATATTGCGAGTATTGAGCCAAATTAAAAAATATATAATTTCTTCATATAGGTAATACAATGTATGTATAAAGGTCAAGATAAAGAGAAATGCAATGTTTCTGAATATTAACATTTACTGCCAGTTCTGAAATCAAGGTAGGGACGTATGAAAAAAACCGACTATAAATTCCGTCACTCATTGTAAGGATCACTCATCACAAATTAAAACAATTGATTATAAATAAAAATCAATTTGAGTTAAAAACGCGACTCTAAGGCCACGTTCACACGGCGATTATATTCCCGTATACCGTATACGTGATTTTATCGAATAGAGTAGTGACAACAGAATATATATGAAAAATTAAAAATTGTTTACACGGCGTTCATACGGGAAAATCCCGTGTTCGAGAAATATATTTTACCGTATACCGTGCGAAGTTGTCACTGGAAACGCCGCGTCTCGGAACGATTTTATCGAATACGACACGCAGTGGCGCTTATGTTCATGTTTTCTCGTTCACACGACTCGCCCATTCGAGAATCGTACGCACTCTTGTGCGTTGCATCAGTCGGTTGTCAATATGGAGGACAGAATTCCAATATTGATCGAGGATTTTATTTCCTTGATCGAAAAAAAATCGAATCGAATGGTTGCCGTGTGAACGATTGCATCGTATACGGTAAAACCGTATACGTGAAAAAATCGAATCGAATGGTCGCCGTGTGAACGTGGCCTAACGCAATAATTGTTTCGAGTACACAGAACAATAACCTTTTAAGTTGGAAGAATTGATCAGTGAAATAGATACTAAACATTTCTACCATTGTGGTTAGTTAGCACTCGTCACCTGTACATAAAGTTTCAGAAGATGTAAAGAAGTTGATGAAATATTTTTTAAACCAACCAAAGTTCCTTCACTCAAAATCGCACAAACTAATTGTAAGACAGTTGTCAAATTTATATACGTTTCTTTAGATGGTTAGGGCTAACTAATACGTATATTTATTTAATACTACTAGCGCCATCTATGTGTCAGCCTACGACCTTTTCAGCCCACATACACTTAGTACCAAATTTACGCCTGCACTGGTAATTTACAAGCGCGATACCGATTCCAACGTTATTGTATCCAATTTCAATATAAATCTTGTGTTAGTTATATAATGTTCAGTCAATATATTTGAATGGTAATCAAAAGTCGATCCCCGAAATTGGGAATATTATGCGGAAGGCTTGTTAACTGCAGATGTGGAGAGCGGAAATCGTTTTGTAGTGCTTTGTGGTACGTAATTATCATAGAGCAATGTTTTGGCAGGATTAGATTTTGGTCTGTTGATTGAAACTACGAACGGCGTTGTTTGGTTTCGCAATGGGGTTTAATTAGGGTGGCTAAACACTTATCTAAATATGAAAATTTATCGAAGAATAAGCCTAATAATTTAACACATATCGAAGAAGAAGAGAAATGTGTCATAGTAATGTCGTAGTTTTTTAATAATTTCTCGCAGCCATACTATGTTGGCTTAAAATTAAGTATATGTACTTATAAAAATGAAATAAACAGTAGAAAATGTTATCATAAAATAACGAGGGCCAGTAGATATAAAAAGGTTTAATAGAAATTAAAAATAAATAAATCAGTGGCGCTACAACCTTTTGAGGTTTCTGAATCTGTTTCATTAGTCAATCTTAAATATGCAAGAAGGTGATCAGCCTCCTGTGCCTGATACACGCCGTTACATTGTCTAAGGCAAGCCGGTTTCCTCTCGATGTTTTCCTTCACCGTTTGAGCGAAATGTTAAATGCGCACAATAAAAGAAATCTCATTGGTGTACAGCCGGGGCTCGGAAGTACGAACTCAGGGATGAGAGTCGCATGTTAAAGCCACTAGGCCAACACTGCTAGTCAACAACAGTCTATTAGAAATTAAAGATAATTGTTTAAAACTTTTGTAAAAGCAGTAAAAATTTGACAGATAATTGTAGCTTATATGTATAATTGTGAATAAAATGTTGATTTTTTGTTCAGAGTGCATTCGCTGCACCCTCCAACGCTGCCGTCACCTTCTACAACACAAATGAAGTTGGTTCAGTCCCAGACAATGGCGGACTCGTAAACAGGTAAAACTGATTTTCAGTTAACTTTTTTAAACGACTCTTAAGTTGTTAGATCACGCTTTCTTTCCTGGTTTCCTCTCCAATAAAAGCAGATAAAATTAAATAAACGAAATCAAGACTATAATGGAGGTAGTTTATATATATTAAGTCTATGTTACATAAGAAATCTTGTACTACACTTTACATTTTCATTTTTAAACTAATGATACGTTTATTGCATTTAATGAATGTATAGCTAAATATCTTTATAGCGTGCCTTGCTACTAAAAGGATAGCCTATTGTTGGTAAAGCACGTAATCCTGACATCATGGTTCATCATCGATTCCCAGCGTAATACTTGTTTCAGCTTGGTAGGCACCATAAAGGTTGTCAATATGTTGTGGAACAGTCTGCTGTGAAACAGTTTGCTTCTCAGCATATTTTTTCATTATTTTTATTTTGTCAGTTTCTGTGTGTTCATTTATTACTAACGAAACAAACAAACAGAAAAAATAATGAAATTTTTTTTCTATTAAAGAACAAGGTACGTGTTAAATGTAATTCGTGTGAGTTGTGGTTGAAACTGGCCCGGCTCGGCATTATTTGTTTGTTATGTCTATGTTTAATATTGATAAATTAACAAGACACACATTTTTGAGTGATGCCAAACTGGTTAATGCTTAAAGGGTCGTACGGCGTCTATTTAACTGTGTAAAATTAAAGGTGCAATTAATAATTATATTTTCTCTCAATAGCTACATTGTGTCGGGCCCCGTTGACTACTTAGACGGAGGATCCATTCCTCTCTACGCTCAGATGCTACTCCAGATCCTAAACGATTTGGCTAACAGCCCCAACCCAGTCAGCAAAGCCACCGCAGTCATCCAGACCATTGCCGCCCTTGGAGAACTCTCCCACGGTACATCTGGCGACTCTTGTGAAGCTGCTGGTGTAAGTACTATATCAGAACTAATCGTTCAGTTCAGCTATAACATTTAGGCAAATAATAAGTGTCCAATCAAAGTCCAGAGATTGATTTATTGAAAAATTAAGCCAGGGTTTGAACACACGACCAACATAACATAATGCGTTCCTTTATTAAATTTGTTTCAGCTCATCAACGCATATGCCTACTCAGCTAAATCAGGCAACAAATCGGGTCTCCGTCAAGCCATTGCCAACTTCGTAGCCCGTCTCTCCAACAACATTGACACCATTGCCCAACTGATTGTCAACCCCAACGCTGTCCGTTACTCGGTAACTATTATTTTAAATTATTAACTACTGGAACAAGTCTTGGTTGTATAGCCAGCTTTTCATGAGTGGTTCGTATCGCTAACCGTAGAAAATTCACTTAATACCCTTTACATTATTATTAATAATATTTCACATTCTTTAAAAAAAACTCGCCTTGAGAAACGATTCTTTCATTGGTTATTTAAAATTGAAACTATTTTAAAGTAATATACAGAATTCTTTGAAATATGAAGGCTAGAATACAAAGGAATCGTGTCAAGAAAAGGCTAAGTAAATGCCACTAATTTGTCGGTACTTAGAAATTAGAAATATAATAATATATATTGATTTGTAGGATATTATAACACGTATAGAAAGTTGACAGCTAATTATTACGTTTTATTTAATACACGTTCTATTTATTTAGTAATAATTTTATGCAGAAGTTCCGCACAAAGCTAAAAATAGGTAACGATATCAGAATGAAATATGTTTTGTGTTTTAAAGCGGTCGAGTTCCATGGACATAGTTTCGTTTCGAATAACAAAGAACGATGACATTGTCTCTAACATCTTAAATAAAAATGACAAAGAAAAATACTATTTTCAAAGCAAAAATAATTTGGCAAATACGATAATTATATTATAACAAAATTATAGTAGATTTCATCTAGTAAGTAAAATTGTAGATATTCAAAAAAAATCCAATTCCGTCAACAAAAAACAACTTAGGAGTTCAGGCACCTCTCTTTCGAATTCTGCGCGATTATAACGGATTAAACAGTACTTACCCGGAGCTGAATATATTCGATAGTGGGCTGATCAATTTTAAAGAAAGCATCGTTAAGTTATCTCTTACCTAATCCGCCGTTTGGCTGGTATTTGTTTTCTGCTTAGTAAAAATTTCTAGTATGTTTATTTGTTGTATATATTTTCTGTTCAAAGATACTTTATTTCTCAAAGAATTACATTCACTTAGCGATAAAATTTAGAGTAAGTTAGTTATGTACATCGTGTTATGAAATTATTTGAAAATAAACTATATAAAATAACAATATTTTTACAAAAGTTATTTATTTATTAAGTATTTTAATTGTATTTATTATTATTTTTTGTAACATTTATGTTTACCTATTGAAGTATTACGTAACGAATTTTGGGAGGGGGGGATCCTTTTGTAAAACGTTACGATTCGGGACGGGAATTGAATTACGCGTTATTGTTAATATTATTCTTGACTTTCCAGTACTTTACAACACATAATGGTAACTTTTGGGTATAAAGAGTCACTGGGTGATCACGAAACGTTTCACTATTGGGTACAGAAAAACGTTACGGCGCGTTACACGGGGGGTGTCAATAATCTCCAAAAATTGCGTGAAATTAGAAAAAAGAGTTTGTAACATATATCGTGGATATATATATAAATAATAGATTAAAAAAGACTCTTTATTAAAAGAACAAAAAATATATATAAAATACAACGCGGCTAAAATCTATGGATTTCAAACTGTTTGGAATTTATTCAACAATTCATCCCGACCTATTCTATCAGAAATAGATGCATAGCATGAGTTGCAGTTCAATTTACATGAAATGCATTTATCATGTATTGATCGCGTCTTCGTATTGTTATTAATGGTTTCGCTGAGGGCTAATTGATAGCTGTCCACACCGCATAATGGATTGTGAAGGATGATGTCGTATGCACTTTTAAATTTATCAATGCTTTTAGAAAGCTTTTAGAATAGTTATTTTTGTAAAACTCTGCGAGGATATTATTAGTAAGTAATCTACATGACAGAACAAGATTTTCTTGATTTAATGTGATCTGTTGAATTACAACCATAACTAAAACTGATTAAAAATATATGTTTTTAGTTCGTCAGAACTAGATTTAAAATGTGCAATTAAGTGATCTGGCTTCTGTGCCCGATACACGTCAACTTTTTGAGTCTAATGCATGCTGGTCTGTTAAAAGCCAATATAGTCCATTGGTACACAACCTGGGTTCGAACCTGTGATCTCAGGAATGAGAGTCGCACATTAAACCACTAGGCCAACCCTAATCAATGAGTGTGGTTATAGGTCGGCCCCCGTGGAAGCTGCATTGGTGGTGGAAGAACCTACCAATTCGAAGAATCTTGGGACGCCATCTTAAGCAGTGCTGCACCAGCTCAATCTGCGTGAGTATTTTATATGTAACATGCATAAGGCGATAAAATTTTTGATAACTTCGATGTTTAATTAATAAAATAAAATTGTAGGCTCTTGAACGAGGAATACTGCGTGGCTAGACGTTTGTACAACGCGTTCAACATTAGAAGCAACAACGTCGCTGCTGGAGTCTCCGCAGCCGCTATTCCTCAAGTCATCAAGGTTGCCCAGTACGCGCTCCAACCTTTGGCTCAGGTATTTTAGAACACGTGATGTAGCATATACTTTTTATGTATTCTTTATTGACACTTCACATCGACATCTTTTTGTAGTAACTCGCACGTATTAAATGTTTCTATTTTCAGTTCTTAAGAGCCGTCGCCTCTGGAGAAAACCCTCTTCAACCAGCTGCTGCAGCTAAAGCGGGACTTAACCAAGCTGTTAACAAGATCAAACTGTAAGGCTCAGTCCCATAGTATATAGTATGACCAGAAATAATTTTCAAAATCAAAATAGACCATCATACCATTCCATATGTATTTCAGTATATTGTTTGTAAATATAACTATATATGTAAACAACGACCCGGCTTTTATTTGTGACACCGAGTAAATAAAGATGTACCACCCGCTGTCTCTATTTCATTTCATTCTAAAATTTCAAATATTTCGTTTTTGGTTTACAGAAATGGCACACGCAAAAACTCTTTTTTTTCCAGTAAAAACTTAAATGTTAAATTATTATTAACGTAGATTCTAATGTACAGCACATTGTTTTTATTCTTTATGATACCTTTATATACATATAAGAAACACATTATTAGCTTACAATATAATTGTGCGTCTAAATGTGGAAATTGAGTCCTCACCACATACTTGGTTTTATGCTCTACGTATGAATTCCCAAGCCAACAAATAAATCAGTGGCGCTACAACCTTTATAAGTCTGGGCCTCAGATGTTTAAATCTGTTTCATGATCATTTGTCAATCTAATAGGCTAATAGGTGATCAGCCTCCTTTGACATACGCCGTTGACTTTTTGGGTCAAAACCAGTTTCCTCACGATGTTTTCCTTCAACGCTCAAACATTGCACATAGAAAGGAAGTGCATTGGTGCACAGCCGGGGATCGAACGACCTCAGGAATGAGATTCGCCCGATGAAGCCACTAGGCCAACACTGCTCTTAAATGCAGAAGATACCAGTTGTGAACGAAAAACTTTAAATCACCAAACGGTATTCTATATTGAATGTTATCGGAGGATCAGTTAGAGAGTTTAATTCGTAAATGAATAATCGTAAGTGAATATCCACCCGTATCACCTCGACGTCCGCCATTCCACAACTGAGCGTTTTTCAAGGCAGTCTTTGCCGCGCACTACCACTTTGTGGAACCAGCTGCCCACTGATGTATTTCCGAACCAATTCGACTTAGGGTCCTTCAAGAAAAGAGCGTACCAATCCTTAAAAGGCCGGCAACGCACTCGCGAGCCCTCTGGCAGTGAGAGTGTCCATGGGCGGCGGTATCACTTAACATCAGGTGAGCCTCCTGCCCGTTTGCCCCCTGTTCTATAAAAAAAAAGTAGATGAAGGTATAATTTTTGTTTTAAAACTTTGATAAAACTATTTAAATAAATTTTCATGTGGTCTGTTTCATATATATTGTTAATCTATGTAATCTGTTTTGTATTTGAATATTGTTTTGTCTAAGTTTTTTGTTTTATAATATAGTAGATGAATAAATAAATTTAGTAAATATTTAAACTACTATGGAACTAGTTAAGGAACACGGTACGGGAAATTGTTAATGCAAACGCAACGGTCGCCTTTTCCAAATTATGTTCGTTTAGTGGACTACGTAGTTAAGTACATTTCGTGATACCAATATAAAGTGCTTTTGTAAACAATTCGGTGCTTACATTGCAAAATTCGAGCATCGGTTCAGGCAATTTCTTGCACGATACTTGAAGATCGCCTTCCTCGTAATGATCACGTTATGAATACAGCGGAAGCGGAATAATATGTATTTATTAAAAAAACTCTTAGATAATAAATAAACAGTAATAAGCTCCACGTTCCTAAGTGTTCCAATTTAAAATCCTACTTTATAGACCTAGGTTTTGTATGTAAAACATGTATGATTTCACACAACAATTTGCTGGAAAGTGGGAAATTCATTGACGTATAATGTTTGACAACACAGTACCTCAATATTAAATATAAGAACAGGGTAACACATTGATTATCCTGTGCATTCCAAACCTATTATGTTTCAACGGGAATCAAACGCAGAATGTCTGTGTAATACGTATTATATAAGTCTGTTTAGTGAGGACCACTTTAAGATGTCTAGTGACTGAACCAAAACGCGCTCTCTTCCGCTTCCACTATAGGCATGGTCTTAAAGCAACTTGGTGAGTTTTGAGAGATCAGTAATAGGGTTGAGACTCAGCAGAGCACATAATGTGAGCTCACAAAGAACGTATTGTGGCTCGGCCCGCCTCATGACTCTGATAGCCAACTTCTATTGAGATTAGTGAACCATTGCTTCATGCTTCCGCGAATTAAGTTTTGCCTACTTTGTTAAATTCGGTTAAATGAGACATCATTAGAAGTAGTCGTTTGATCTTTTTATCCTTATTGGTTTCAGAAGTTTTTTTTGTTAACAATTGGTGCTTAATTATTTAAAAAAAAACATAAAAGAAGATTATTGTTAAACATAAAGTATTTATTTTTATTTAAACTTATGCGTTACATTAAAATAAAAACAAATAACATTATTGTTAGGGATGCAATGGAAGATCAAGCGATCTCTTCCAGACAACACAAGTAAGATAAAAAACTAAAAAAGGAAACATTTAGGGTATAAGTTCATAACCAAATCAACAAACATAAAATTATAAGTAACATTAGAAAATTATACAATTACCAAACTTTATCTAAAATAGAATTAAAATCAATAAAATTAACTAAAAACTAATCCTCACGGTTCATGAATTACAATGCAATTCAATTAATGTAATAATAATTGTATTGCATTGTAATTCAATATAATTATCATTAATTTCTTTATAAACTACACGTATTCTTAGTATTTTAGATTAAAGTTATATTGCATTTTAAAGTATCTTTTGCGGTACGGACTGCCTACAATCTAATTTATTACATTAAATTAATTTTATTATATAAACGTGAATTTATCATAATTAATATAACGCGACGCTTCGAGTGTCTAACAGTTGGAGTTTGTTGAAGAATAATGATTAAAAATAATCGGAAACTATCCGCCGTTTGTACAATTAAAATGTTTTGTTAAATTTTATCAGGGAAGGTATATATCGGTTAAAAACCACAATTGCAGTATAATACCATTTACATGGTTTAAAAACAAAAATTGTAACCGCATTTCGTTTGCACCAATTTGCATTCACAAAAAATAGTTTCCTCCACTGCTTACATCTGCTTCCATTTGGCTGCGATGCCAACAATATTTTTGTTAAATCTCAGTTAGCTGCAGTTTTCCAGAATTTTAAATACTAATCGAAACGTTATTTAATTGTATTCCTATAAAAAAAGTAGAATTGCTTTTATGTAAGTTTAATTGAAGAGTCAAGGTTTTTGAAGAGGACCCTTTTCATGGATTTTTTATCCTAAAAACGAAAGGAAATAAGTCATATAACTTACCCTTGAAATATCTGTACTTTCGTCTCTCGTTTAAGATTGCGTTGAGGTGGTTGAGGAATCGTTGCGACAATTTTTTTAAGCGAACAGAAAAAAAGGAAAGAAACTTCTTCTAAAAATAAACATAATGATTACAATTAATAAGTTGACAAAGGACCTTAAACCGACGTTTTACTGCACTTAGTTCAAAATCAGTAAAAAACTGGCGTATTTTTCAACTTTACCTTTGTAATATAACTTTCCATTATAGGTTTTGTACTGGTCGCCGAGTAAACAATATTCTGAAAGCAATGTTGGCTTGTAGTTCGGCGCAACGCGACGTCATGCATTCGTAATGCGGTCTGTCAGGCTTCCAACATTGTAAATACTTGTAAGTTCGAAACTTACCCTGAAATATTTTCCTATAAGAAGAAAGAACTCGGTAGGATAATAAACTGGGTTCATATTGCATATAACAGAGATTCTGTGTACCTGAAATATCGAATTTCTATAGTAAGTAAAGGATTGAAATGGTGGCGAGGTAGAGAGACAGTGGAAGAATTTGGAGGAGTCTGTCTCTCCGTCGGAGGTCGTGTACTAATGTTAAACATATAGACATGTATTTAATGTAATCCTGGTTATGTTGTACTCGAATAAAGTCTATTTTTATTTTATTTTCTTAATAGGTAAGTTCGATATTTTTAAATATGAAAAACAAATTGTACTTTGTAATTTGTATTGTAACAGCTATAAATTTAACTTCAGTTTTTTTTATTTAATTTAAATAAACATTCAATTACAAAAATAAAACTTTTGAATTAATTTGTTTTATATCAGCAAATAAAATTTACTATAGTAAAAATAAAAAATAATTACAATTTATTTTTAATACGAAAAGGGATTTTCATAAAAACAGACATGGTTGGCTAACGTGACTAGTCAAAATAGCCAAAAGCCAAAATCGTTTATTCATATAGGTAACACAATGTACACTTATGAACGTCAAAAAAGTAATACATATTAAATGCTTCTAATTTTACTGCCAGTTCTCAAATCAAGGGCGTAAAACGGAAGAGAAGAACTGGCAATAAACTATCCGCCAATCTTTTTAATCGCCATGTTTTTCCTGCAACCATTACACCATGTTCCACATGATATCTTAAGTAATTAATAGTTAATTAATAATAACTAACCGTCATCACTAACATAGTCAATAGTCATCTCCTAAGCATTGCACTATGTTTATCAAGTTAAGCTTGATAAATTCGGTATAGTTTAATACGAAATCGTTCGTTAAATATTCGTCGTCAATCCGACATTGTTTTGGTCAGGTCAAACGTTTCAGTTTAACATACAATTTGTATCGTTAACAACATATTCTATTTAATATATGCATGCAGCTTGCATGTTCCGGCTTCCTTTAATTCTAAATATGTTCACGGAGCGCGTTTTAAGAAGTCCATCCAAAAATCAATATATTATATCTTCTTTTGATTATATGTCGCGTTTGTTTTATATTTTTTTTTATAAGGGCTTTAAGGGCTTGTTTTGATTTTTTTTCTTTCTGACCCAAAACCGGGGGACCGTGTCGTGGCGGTTTCCTCACATTGCTTTCTTTCACCGTCTGTACATGTGATAATGTGCCCAACATTGAAAAACTATCTAGGTATTGGTTCCTCAACCTATACACTGTAGGAATCCACTATGTAACTGTTTAATGAATATTAAAATACCGAAAGTAGCGAAGAGCTTTAACAACGCTATGAGCGTTAAAAACTTGGAAAAACTATTGACTAATTCAC